ATTCGTATAAAAATTAAAGAATTTTCCTTGAGAAGTTGAAGTTAAAATTAGACTTGTAATTTTAATTTAAAAATTCGCGCTACCTCTTGCCAGTTAGGAAGCCAGCTATGTCCTCAGCACTTGTAGTTAACAATATTTTTTTAATAACAGGCTTTACGGCTCTAGGTTCTAGCCCTTCTGAGCCTGAAGTTACAATGTATAATTGTTATCCTTCATAGTATATTGCTTCACAATATGTTGATGCATCACATTGTACAGCCCTTGCGAGATTTTGACGGCAACTTGAGCCAGCAAACAGCTGAAAGTTGGCGATGGTATCTCAAGGCGCCTACGCAGACAAACGCCATATCTTGAGAATCATATCACCATCAGAGCACTTGTTTCACCATTTCCATTAATAGTTCACATGCGCAGACATTTAATACACAAAATCGTACTACTTTTACATATTAAAATCCACTTCAAACCATTATTTAAACAATAATACAGGAGCAGCAATCCGTCGCCGGTCAAGTTCCCGCCATAACTCTGTAGTTAACAAGCTTTGTTCACAACTTAGAGTAGTTATACACCTTGTAATTAAGTATTTATATACTCTTTGGTTGGTAATTTGTAATGATAATATTTTTTACACGCGGATTTATAATATAACACATAAGTGCGGATATGTATATATAAAAATTAGACTCATATCTAGGAAGACCAGACTTTTTAGTTTTTAATGCGTATAATCTCTTTTTTTTACCTCATCTCATCCATCCATATTCTTCTTCTTCCATCCATATTCTTATTGTTAAATATCTAAAGTCACTGTCAAAGTCAGTGTCCCAGGAGCACAGTTTGGTATTATTTTTTATTTAAATGCAAATGGATTTATGCTCATACAGCCTAGTCTGGCATGTATAATGTTCACAAAATTCTTTACAATATAGTGATACGTCATATTACGAAAGGAGAATGCCAGATTCTCTATTGAACTTTGTCCCACCCAAAAGCGTGGTGTACACGAATTCCGTATGCAACATTTTTTTCTACTTTATTACTTCATTTAAATTAGGTAATTTGAAGTCTCTAGAACTTGCGATTTTTTTTTAAACATGACTTTAATAATTACGTTTACCTTATGTTTTAATAACAGTATTCGTAGCAGATCATTGTAATTTGTGTGTTTGGGAGGTCATCTCAGACAAATAATGTGACACGTAATTTTAATATATAAAGATGTAACAAAAACCCTGTGGTTACCGTTAATTATGTTATGAGGATCAGTATTCAACCGTATAGAAATAACTTTTTTTTTTAAAGTCGACCAATATTTTTTATTTTATTTAAAAAAAAATATTGTATGCAAATAGTATGTGGTTTTATTACTTCTGCATTGTCCGGGGGGCAAGAGGATTGTCAAAGACCCCGCTTTACTTTTCTTTAGCATCGGCTAGTGTTAGTAAGAGGCAATAAAGCCACATAAAATTTTTTTTTTCATTACAAAACATTGGTCGAGTTTTTAAAAAAAGTTATTTTTATAGGTTTGAATACTGATTCTGATAACGCACATAACGGGAACCACAGGGTTTTTGTTACATGTTGTATAAATAAGAATTTAGGGACCATCATTATATAATGATCAGTAACATTGTAAAAAAGGTTCTCTTTCATAGGATGTAAAAGATCCTACACAGTATAAGACTAGCACCACCTGTTTTTCATAAAATCTAAGTGCTAGTCATGTAAACGAGTTATATTATTTACAAAATTATTTTTCAAGATACATATTATTATCACATGTGTCTGAAGAAGGTGTAAATATTTACAGATTAGTAACCAATTTTACAACAACGGCAGGACCATAACAGCCATAGGAGGCCTATATAAAAAAGCTATAAAACTAAATATACCTGTCGCAAGGATCTCCATGTGGAAAGAAGAGTTAAGATTGTAAATCGAAATGAGGACACAAAATGCCTCTGCTTCCTATCGATGCAAAGGTAACAATTAGTGCACCTTAACATCGTGGATGCAATTATCAGAATGTCCGTAGTAATTGGTAGTAAGTCAATAAGTAGGCATGATCGAGTCCGTATATTAATAAAAGCATAACTCGTCAGCAAAAGCGGGAAAAAGTGCAACGGTAAAGAAAGCGTGAATCAGCTAAAGCAAAAATGCGATATAATCATAATCAATATGTTTCACAAGCACAAATTAATCAATGTGTGAAAATATTCGACATTCATTTGACATACGTACTTACGATATTGACACAATGACGTGTGTTTATCATTTCACAAAATGCACGAAAATCAATTATTGTTATTCAGTAATTATCTAGTAATTATCGATTTATAATAATAACTGAAAATAAAAATTGATAAGTAACATTTTTATATGACAAAGACTTATATTTAAATAGAAATATTTATTGTTTGAATCTTCATGCGCACCTTTATACTTATTCGTACAAAGAAACGCAGATGTTTTTAGAAAAGACTGGAAATGTAAATATTAATCGAAAATGCGGTAAAATATTATTTGAAAAAAAATCTTTTTTTTTTTAATTTTTACCGCAACTTGTACAAAACAACAATTTATCACAAAAAACTTCGAACTTCATTAGATTATTTTTCATATTTTTACCTTTTTGTACAAGGTGGGGCACGATCTGGCATTCTCCTATAGCTTAGCCCAGCGGACAGATCATGACAATAGTATATCAAGGCGCTTTAGTGGATAAGATAATTTGAGATTTGCATCACAGCACATGTTACATAGTTTACACCGAATAGTAACTGTCACCACAAAATAGATAACAGTACAAGGACAGAATAATCACTCTCTGATAGCAAACTTGAGAGTAATTACAACGTCTCTAATGTTTATAATACTTTGCATGCCTCGAATGCGACTTTCGTAAAAACAGTCTACCGGTTGTCTAATCGAAATGCACCTTATGTTCGCGTGCGAGAGTCTGTATCACTTCACTTCTTTATACGCCTTTGTTAAGGCCACTCCTACTGTAGGGTTAGGTGTTGTGAGAAAAGAAATTGAATCCTTTGATATTAGTTGGCAGTAGAGTACACCGAGGTGCTATGCAATGTATTAGCAAATTGCTTATAATAAGAATATTATTGTTCAATGTTGGGAAAGTTAATATGCAACATCGAGAAAAATTAAGATAACAACGTGAAAATCTTTGAAACTCAGATAATTTACCTACTTACCGTTGTCTGTTTCACTTTGTTTGCTATTGACAAACATGCTACACGTGACAGCATTTATTGATGAAAGAGTAGTAATGAAAAGTGCTGCTATTTTCAATCTCTTTCTTTTATCGACCAAGTGTTTAACTAATAACCAGTATATGCTAATCTTGCAATAGTAGGCAGTCACTAGTACTGGGAGGTCTACTTATACTGAAATATTTTTAAGGTCATTGACATTATTCGCGAAAAAATCGAAAACTGCGAAGCTATGTGGTCGGCTCTCTAATCAAATAATATATCTATAACTATGGCGTCAATAACTAGGTGCCTAATTATCTAGATCTACCTATAAATAATAATATCTTACCTTTCGATATTCTTAGGAACAGTAAAGAAGTCGACATTCCTATAGTTATTTAAGCACCCGTATGCTTCGCAGTACCTTTTGCCTTTTTGAGTGGATACTTGAATAAAACCTCAATAATAAATGTATCAAAAGTGCCTAAATACTTTTTTGTTAGCGTAAGGCGCGCATCAGCTCGAGCGCACGTAACAATGCTTGACAACTTCACTGAATTAACCTCATGTAGGCGGCTGTATAGCTTAGGTATATTTTTATGCCTAAGGCGTGGAGTGAGACAGGCCTGCTGTCACTGATAAACCCATATATGGAGATTTGGCGAGATCTTGACTACCGGCGAATTGTTGCTCCTGTTTTATCGTTTAAATATCATGTGAAGTAGTCGAAACGGCGAAAGCAGTGCTGCGATGTTCATATGAAACTCAAAGTATCTTGTACGATTAAGTGCCTTGAAAACTAAAAATACGGTCGTTATCGATAGGCTTAAGCTGTTGTCGAAATCTCTCGAAAACTCCGCAATATATTGCATCAATATTTTGTGAGGAAAGGAGAGGGAGACGTTTCGATACATTCTTGGGGCAAGGTGTATCAACAAGATGAAAGGAGGGCCATTTGAAAGCTTACATATAAAAAAAATCATAGCTGAAAATCTAGCAAGATTTGTCAATCTAGGGCGCTGAGTTGTAGTAGAATAAGTGAAAGTGAGATTATGTATTACCTACCCTGTAACAGTCGATTTTTCACTAATACACAATTATATTTATAAACTCGCATGCCTACTATAATAGATTTTTTATATTATTTCTAATATTTATGTATTTTTGAATTCTATATTGCAAACTGAGTTAGTTTTTTTTTTTTTGATACTTCAGGCACAAAAAACCCGTTCTCCTTTTTGAATAACTTTATTATTTTAAAATACTTGAGACTAGCAAAATGATGATCAAACAAATCTATTACTAAAGGAAAAAATCCATAAAACCATAAATCTCGTCATCTCGTGATCACGCTCGTGAAATTGTCAATGTCATTGTCATTTATTTGTCAGGTTGTCATTAGTATTTGGTGCGTTTGGTTGTGTTAAGTTTTAATTTTTCGGTCCATTTGAGATATCGTGTTTTAATTGTAGTTTTGTAGTCACGATAGCTATAATCGTAATAATTTTAAACCTTTAAGTGTACCGTGAAACGCAGTGCTTATAATTTAATATTTTTACCATAGTGCCGTAATAGTTTATTTTAAATTTAGATTTTAAAACAATTTGGCAAAATATAATATAGGTAATAAGTATATAAAGCGTTCTGAAAATGTACAGGAAGAATAATCTTTTATATTGAAATCCAAAACATAAATAGATGTTGCATTGCTTTTTAAATTTTTTCCAGTTCTTCAATATTCTTTTTAGGTAAAATAAATAAATACCCTATTAAATACAAAGTATTATGCCCGAGCTAACAAATGTAAGTACTATGATACCTAAAATTCTGTAATATTTTTATTATACGTTATTCTATAGTTTTTTTAATTTATATTAAATTTATCATTAGTACAACTCAGGATAGACTAATTTTTAAAACAGCATCAAAAACTAATAAGTATTTCTTATAATCTCTAATAAATAATAATTTAGTTTAAACTACATTGATTGCATACTGGGCGACTGGAGCAAGCAAAGCTGCTATAATTCTACTGTATAAGAAAGGTTCACAGCAGGACTGTTAAAACTACCATGGAATGAGGCTGCTTAACATTGTCAAAACTGTAAGTGAAGGTGTTGATTGGAAGAGCTAGCCGAGTGCAAGCTGAATTTAGATATGTGATGAGTTGTACTGATCAGATCTTTTCTATGCATATGATCACAGAGAAGTTTTAGCCAAAAGCAATAATTTTTTTGATAATATCTTTCTTGTAGTTCTTACATTAGTATTAGATTGCAATTTTATTTTAAACACATAAAAACTCATGACTCAGAAAGTAAGTGTGATATTAAATTGAAGATTAAGAAATTTATTTAAAAGTTTTGATTATTAATTTAAAAAACTTAGAGTTATGACTATTATTTTGTGGTAGGTTTTCTCTAATTTTATTAACAGATAAATCATTTTTATAATGTGTTATATACACAATTCCATAGGAAGTGGAATAATTTGCCAGTATTTGTTTTTCCATCTTATTATGGTATGTCTTTTAGAGTTAACTGCCTTTTGTTAAAACTAAGTAAATGCTCTTTACCATTGTAGGGTACCACTGCTTACTATCACGTGGGATAAAGCACTGGTTAATAATAAGTGGCATAAAAAGTTTTGCAAAAAGAGTTGGAATAATTTGAGTGGATGAGGTCCTTATAGAGGAGGTCATCTGAAAAGTAATTGTGATTGTTAAAACTAGCATATGAGTAGCTAAATAAAACAAGTTTGGCACAGTTAAAGCCCAACGTTATTTAAATCAAATTTTATAAATCCGTTTCAATATTATGACTATTTTAAATCAGGAAACTTACTCCCAGAAATATTTCAAATTTGATTTGGAAAACAATTTCAGTTTTTGATTGTTTCAAATCTCATTTTAAAAAGTACAACAGAACAATTTGAATCAAAGAACAAGATCAAGTTATGACCTAGCATTATTAGCACTGTTGGGCACATCTTGATATTTTTTATCTAGAAAAAAAAAATGCATCTCTTAAATAGTTTCATACATAAATAAGACAAACTTAAAAATTTAAAAAGAATAGCTAAAGACTTCAACTCTGATAATTTTAATTTGTATAACCATTTGATTGTGTGCTAGCTTTGATTTCGGAAGTATGAATTACCTTGAGTATGAATAAAATTCTACTGATACAAACTCAACTATGTCGGGAGTAGGTTTGCAGATTTTACTACCTTAATTTATCAACAGTCAACTCTTTCAACCTATTAAAACATCCTTTTATAATTACTAATTGTTGCGTACCATATACTCCTATGATCATTTGTTACACACGAATCAAGTTGTTTAATTTAGTGTGACAAAATACAGTCATGGTTGAAATTGTTTAGAGTTTTAGAATAATTTCACATATTTAAAAAATCTTTTAATTGTAACAATTTTGTTTTCAATATATATAACAATAACATATGACTCACTGAATTTCTTAAAAACAACTAAATGTAATTAAAGTCTGAGCAATCTTTAAATTATTATTATTATTAATATTATTAAGTATTACTAGTTGATTTACCACCTTGTTTGGTGGTAAAAGAAAATATTCTGAGGAAACCTCTTAGTTGAAGAATTTGAGCACATGTGAAATTCGCTAACATACTTTTGACTCTTTCCTGTTAAAAGTTCCTGTCAACGTCAGGCCAATAGTTTTTGAGTTATTCTTAATAACTTATATTGAAGTCGACTGTGCAAAATTTTTAATTTTATATTATTAAATGTAGCATATTACCAAGCATGATTATTATGATATCCATATCAGAGCGTACAAAGCTAGAAAGAAAAAGACTGGATTAGAGCGAGCTCTATTATAGTACGCGCTTATGTGCGCCCCCGAAGTTTGTTGTCTGCCTGGGTGATACAACCACAATATGTGTCTTGTACCAAAAAATTGTACTTTTCAACCTGTCTGCCATGACCTTGAAACCGTCATAGGTGTCTGCCAATGTTATTTTTCGGTAACTTTTATTAAATATGTCAAGATGTCAAAGCGGCAGACTTATTGCTATCACGTTTTTTTGGGTCATTTTTTTACACCTTTAACACCTGAGCGTCTCTATATCGACCGCCGGTCAAACTAAAGCGTCCCCGTTTCATGTACCTCAGGTATAGGGGATTAACTGAAAAAAAAGTGAAGCTTATTGAAATATCGTAAGTCTGCCGCTCATTGGCTCTTAAGTTATAGTAAATTAGTTTTTATTATCTTTTGCAGATGGATTTCACTCTTAATTGGGGTGTAGCTGGAGTAGGCATGATCAGTCATGATTTTTTGACTGCAATGACTGACTTACCGGCCAGTAAACACAAGGTCATTGCTATTGCTGGAAAGGACCTGAATCGCGCTCACAGATTGGCCACGTTGCATAATATCAGTACCGCTTACGAAGGCTATGAATCGCTCGCCCATGATAGCTCTATTGGTAATTAATGTCAATAATGTCAATTGCTCCATTGTTTGCAAACTGCTAAGTTTATTGGCTTCACAGATGTATTGGTGAGATCCATTTCATCATTATATATTTTTTTAATTTTAACATTACAACTATTTTTCTGCTGTTATTAAATAATATTTAAGGTATTTAGTTATCAACATATAAAATAAACAGCTGGAAGCTGTTGTAACAGGTCCAATATTATAATATCAAAATTTGAAGTTATCTCCATCTCCTGCGTGCGTGCGTACGTGAGTGCACGCGCGTGCAATTTTCAAATACTAAGCATGCAAATTTAAAAAAAAATTAACTCTATTCCATGAAATCTTATATAGTTCAAATATTTGACTTAAGTTTTAAAACGATTCAGGTTTTTGTATAAGTGTAGTTTAACATTAACTGACGGATTAAAAAAAGAAATGTTCGTACTAGCTAGTAGTGCACGTTCGAGAAAATTGCTTTTAGAACCGAGAAATTACGTGATTCAATGAGAAAAGAAGAAGAGTTATTCAGACGTCAAATGAGAAGAGCGATCCTTCGTTTACCATATCTCATTTTTTTTTAAGTCTTCTGCCTATTAGTCACAGTAATTTTCCGTTTTTGAGGTCTAATTACTCAAGTAATCAAAGTGAAGCACCAACGTTCCGGGAAGTCTGTAGTTTGTGATCATATCCTAGATGGCCCTCGCCATTACATTAGATTTGATAAACCACAAATTCTCGCGAAAGAACATCGGTTCCTGCCAAGGATGAGAAATGAGGCTATTGAAATTAAAAAAAACATCCTAATTTCAATAGAGAGGGAGGCGGGGTACTACCACCTGCTTGGGATCCTGTAATTCATAAAATTAAAACTAAATCCAAGCATACCACTGCAAGACTTCAAGACACAGTTAGTTCATTCTGCGTAGATCGGACCAAAATTATTAATTAAAAAAGCTGAAGGTACTCCGGTTTAACATTGACATCGTGACGTCAATCACCTCAGTCCCCCGTGACCACGGTCGCTGGAAAGCAACCGAAACGTCGGGTATATAAAATAAGTTAATTAAACGCGATAAAATCCGTAAAAATAGTTTTATTCAAGTAATCAATTCAAGGCTCTAAATCTAAAGACTAAATATAAACGTTGTTATATTAATTAATTTGCACTCAACTCAAGTTTTCTTCTATTTGCTTCGTTATTATTGCCAGTGTATTAATATATAAAGTATTTTACAATATTGACCGAAAATATTGACAAGAAAAAGATGATTGATTGATTGATGAGGTAATTGATGTGAGGCTTGAAATTGTTTATTATATTCTTCTTCGATTATGACATTTTTATTTAACCTATGAAATTACCCATTTCAAATCAAAATAATTTTTGTTTGGCTAAGAATTGTAATTTTAAATTTATTTTATTTAAAAACACGGAATTCTTTTTTCAAAATTAAGTAGTAATTTGTTTATTGATTACCGTTATAATCATCATATTTTAATATTTTTCGTCATCATAGATACTTTAAAAATTGGAGCAATTATGGAAAGTGAGTACCGATGTGGCAGCAACACAGCACAAGCGGCACGCAACATCAACGTTTACGGAACGTTGGTTTGACCGCTTCCGTTCTGGAAATTTCGACCTGAAAACTTAACCCCGTGGTCGTCCGAAAACTTTGGTCGACAATGACGAATTAAAGGCAATTGTGGAATCTACGGCTGAATTAGCAGCAGTTTTTGATGTTAGCATCAAAACAATATTGGTTCATTTGCGTCAAATTGGCAAAGCAAAAAAGCTTGATAAATGCGTGCCCCACGAACGCAATAATCGCCAGCGCGAAGTACGCGTCGAGACGTGCTTCGCGCTGGCGATGAAAATAGCTTGGTAGCGATCACCTCATTCCGAGGGGTTATTATCATCCATAAATTCCTTAATATTATAATAACCCCATTTGTATACAAACTTAGCTCAATAAATTTTTGAACGTTGTGTAGGTAAAATTTTGACATGCGCAAAGTTCAAAAATTTGAAAAGTCACTGATTATGTGCTGTGCCCTCATTACATTCTTGCTATCCGTCCAAACACTATTCTAATATATTCCGAGGTAATGATTAAGGACTGATTTTTAATCATCAGACAAAAGTTATTCATAAACGTTTCTTAACGTGGTAAAGCCACGCTGTAGCTATATTATCGTTGTAGCACTAAGGGGTTTAATCGACCTTTCAAAGACCACGTTCTCACGGAATACCAGCATAATGCTCCTGGGTTTGGCATGGTGAGTGTAGAGAACCGTAGATCCTTCTTACGTGACTGCTGATGTATGTATGTATGTCTATTGCACTGTAGTCTATACGGCTTGACGGATTTTAATTTTTAACATAATTGATATTGTTAGATTCGTCTTAGATGTGGAAGTTATTTAAGTTATAAATTTTTGTTTTTTTAGTAAACTTGTTACTGGTAACACACATATCTACATTTTAATCGATGTTGGTTATATTTATATATAATTATGGTTATATATATTTTTATACGTGGTAGAGCCATGCTGCAGCTATATTAGTAGTATATATGTAGCACGAATGGGTTGGCTCGACCGGGGAAGGACCACGCTTTTACAGAATACTAGGGTAAAATAGCCGCTTAACACTGCTGTGTTTCGTATGGTGAGTGTAGAGAACCGGAGACCCTTTTTACTTGAAGAGGCATTCCATCTTAGTCCTCACGGGTGACAACGCATCTGCATTTTGATTCGCAAACGTGGATAAATGTAGATGTCTATGGGCCACAGCAACCACTTACGATCAGGTGGACTGTGTGCTCGTTTGTCACCCTATTCTATCAAAATGTAATACATATTATATATGAAGAAAAATGAATATGCCCGCAACGAAACATTGCTTCTGTTCATTCACTTTATTTTAATCAAAATTCTCCAAAGCCAACAAAATGAGTTCCTTATCCGAGAAAAATAATTTCACTATACCTAATTGTGTCCTTATATGTAATCTTTTTTTAATAACCGGCACAGTCTCAGTTCTAAGTTATTTGAAACCAAAAAAAAAATTCTATAATTCAATACACCGTTGCCTAAACAATTACTTATACGGAGTTTAAACATATTATATATTATCTTCATAATAATAAATTTTCAAATAACGTACATATGTTCACCAAACCAAAGTATTCGTTTCATGAAGTTTTAACAGTTTAAAAAAAAAAGATTAACAATTTCTGAGCTATAAATCAACCAAAAAGGCCGTCATAAATTATTTAAGTACTTGCAAAATTTTTAAAGTGAAATTGATTGCGCTGATCTTTATCTCGTGTAACCTTTACAATAAGAAAGTTTTTATTATTCCAGTTTGAAATTATTACTCATTTATCATCTCTGCGAAATTTCGAAATTCTGTTTAATTTTTTTTCTTTAGTTTGTTTAGTATATTAGAGAAATTTTAACTTAAAATTTAATTTTAATTATATAATTGTGAATTTTAAAACATCAAATGATACGAGGGTGACACTGAAAGTTCTTATAAAATCAAAAACTGAACAAACTTTTAATTGTGAAGTTGCTTTTTAATAAAAGTATATCATTTTCCAGAGTATTATATTAATACACAAAACAATTCCTCATTGCTTCCCTCTTTAATTTCTACCACACAACTTTTTTAAAAATTTTCTATTTTTATGAATATCTGTGGCTTGGTTCTTTTTATTTTTAATCTAATTAAGATGAAATATAGCTAATAATACAGAATATATATATATATATAATAACAGAATATATACAAAATAATAATAATAATACAGAATAATAACCTTCACATTTTCCGAACTAACTTCCCCGCTATGAAATCTGTCAAATATTATACCTCACTTTTAAGTGGCGCCGCGCTGGTGGCAGAAAAAGTCGTGGATGCCCTCATTGTTGCGTAATGACCTGTCCTTCCGAAGAACGAGGCCACCATATTTTTTCCCACGCTTCGATCTCTCTTCACTTTAGCTGGTAACTCCTCGGAAGGAAACACACAGAAAGCAGACTATCTCTTAGTTTCAGGATAATAACAATAAATCCAGCTTTCGTCACCCGTAAGTATGTCGAACACAGCATTTAAGTCACCTCCGTTAAATCTTTGAACCATTTTACGACACCAATCAACACGACGGAGTTTTTGGGCCTCTGTCAAATTATGAGACCAAAAAGCTTCCTGACCGCTAAATGTTCATGGAGGATTTTGTGCACTTGACTTATAGCGATGCCTAAGCTTGTCCAAATATGCTGATAAATCACTCTTTTGTCAGTCTCTATCATACACTGATGTTATCTTCAGTCGTCGCCGTAGAAAGCCGTCCCACGCGCAGATCATCGGTGAGATTAGTGCGACCACGTTTAAACTCATTAAACCAGTTGTAAACAGTGCACGAGATGGGGATTCAACGTGAAAGACCAATCGAAGCATATTATAACTTTCTTGTTTACTTAAATGACATCGAAAGTGATACAAAATCATTGTACGAAAATTTTCTCGCGATAAATTCATGCTGGCGTGACACAGACAATTTTCAATTTGACGCCAAATCGTAAACAAATGACAAATTAATAAAATAGATACACAATAATATTGGTAAAGAGTTCCATTTTCAAAATTTGAACTTACTTTTTTATTATATCGTTTACAGGTGGCCAGTCCTAAAAACATTCAGTCGCCCTCGTAGCCGACTATATCAAATTCTGTAAGATTGTCTCGAAATACCAATTCTAACAAGTAACGAGTCAACAAGTCTTGTGCATCCAGAATTCTTTACAAAATAATTTTCGTTGTTACTCATATTCCATAATGAGGTACTCGCATTTTTAACGTATCCATGATGGCGAAATAGATTCAAATGACTTATTTTGAAAAAATATTTCCATGTTTTTAAAATAAAAGGCGTGTAGTGGCGGTTAAGAATATCCACTACCCCATATCATCTTCCCGTGGGTGTCGTAAAAGGC